GGGGGGGGGGTGTTGCAGCGGCCCAGTGTGGCTGTGAACTGCCTTAGCCACTCAGGCTTGTGAGTAGGACGATCCCTCAGACACTCACACCATAAATGTCCAGATGCAGAGTCACTTTGGAACTGTCCTCTGCAAGCCTCCTCCCAGGGAGGGCTAGGTAACTTGAGCTGCCGGCAGGCCCTCAGGTCACTTAGGGAGCGGTCAGCTGATGCTCCTGGGGACCATTCATCATGCCCCCGGCCCAGCCCGTCACTGCCATGGCTATTTCCAGTCCCTGGGTATGGAGCAGCTTATGTAACAGGCTGGGAGCCAGGGGCTGGGTTGGGGGCTCTTGTGGCAAGGGATGGGGCTGTTCCCACCTCGCCCTATCAAGACAGCCACTCAGTGCCCCTTTTCTCCCTGTGTGTGTGTTGGGGGGGGGTGGGTGGGAGGGTTGCAGGACGGAGACCATAGGCCTGGGTGGGATCACTGTGGGTGGTGTCTACCAAAACACTTTGTACTTCCTTCCTTCCCTCCCATCCTGGCCCACAAGGTGGCCCAGACTCCTTCCTTCCACGAATCTGAGACCACCAAGCAGCCTCTCTTTCAGCCACGCAGCCCTACGCCGCCTGTGTTCTCTCACCCGGCCCTGACCCTCAGAGGAAGAAGCAGGCGTGCCAGCTGCGAGCCCCGCCTGAGAGCACCCTGTCCCCGTCTCCGCAGCCCCTTTCCTGACTCCATGGGGACTGGCAGGTATCATCTGGTCGTTAAGCAGGGCTCAGGTACACTTATTTGCCTCGTGGCCTTAGCAGCCTTTGTGAGCTCGCTGAGCCTCAGTTTCCCCCCGGGGAACTAGAACAAGAATACCTTCTTTTCAGAGTGGTTGTGACCACGAGGGCTTGGGGAGCACATTCCAGGGGGCAGATTGCTTAGGTCTGAATCCCAGCCCTGTCTGTGTGGTTTGGGGCAAGTTCCTCAAGCTATTTGGTTAATTTTCCTCATGCACAGAATGGACACAGAGATCCCAAGGACCCAGCTCCCCGAGTGGTGAGGATCCGAGGAGTGTGTGTGCACAAAGCGCTTGAACAGTGCCTGGCACAGGTCAGCACCATCTAAGTGTCAGCTATAATTAGACAATGTTTGGAGGTCGCTTTCCTCAGCCTTGGCTCCTAATAAGCTCTTGGTGAAAGGTACTTGTTATTTTTAACTTCTTCATTCTCCTTCACTGTCTTGAGCTTCTTCACAAGCCCACCTTCATTTAGCCTGGCAATTCCCTGGAAGAGCTCTCTGGTCTCTCCTCTTCGATTGCCCATCTGCCTCCGCCACCAGTAAAAGCGTGTCTAAATTACATCCGCCTTGGCGTTCACACTCACAAAACATTTCACACGCACTTCTGTCTGGGCCTTGCAGCACACCCGGGAACAAGCAATGCGCCTCATGGTACTGGTCTCATTTTTGCACAGCCCAGGGCAGGGTGTGATCCACCCAGAAGCATCAGCTGCCAAGGGACGTGTGTCCGGCAGTCAGGGCACCGGAGCGCGCTGGAGGATGTGGCCGGGGCTTGCCAGCTCCACGCTGCCAAGACCGATGAGTGCAGGGGGCCCTCTTTCTTCCAATCCCAGCCCCCACGGAGCGCCCACAGGGTGGGAGGCCCACGGGCTTCATAAATGTCTCCCATCCTAGCGCCAGCCCAGACTTCCAAACGCTGTGTGGTGGCGCCCTCTGCTGGACACAAGTGGCCTCTAGGAAACTGTTGCCTCTGAAGGGAGAATGGTGAGTGGTGGATTTATTCATATTCACACAACAATCTATCCAGGGCCTACTACGTGCCAGGCGGTCTTGTAGGAACCGCAGAGATGGGCGAGAAATAAACTCAGAAGGTCTCTACTTTCCTTGGACATATATCGGCGGGGAAAGGGGAGATACTGATAAAAACATATATAACATAATGCCTCATACTGAGAAGTGCTATGAAGACAGACAGGGCGGGTAAGTGGCTAGAAAATGACTAAGGCTGTCGATTTTAAAGGAACAGTCAGGGGCGCCTGGGTGGCGCAGTCGGTTAAGCGTCCGACTTCAGCCAGGTCACGATCTCGCGGTCCGTGAGTTCGAGCCCCGCGTCGGGCTCTGGGCTGATGGCTCAGAGCCTGGAGCCTGTTTCCGATTCTGTGTCTCCCTCTCTCTCTGCCCCTCCCCCGTTCATGCTCTGTCTCTCTCTGTCCCAAAAATAAATAAAACGTTGAAAAAAAAAAAAAAAAAAGGAACAGTCAGAGAGGCTTCTCTGCGGAGGCAACAGATAGTAGGAACCCCAGGGAAGGGAGGGAAGGAGCCCTAACCTGGGGAAAAGGCCAGCGAGGCAGAGGGCAGTTGCAGTTCACTAAGAAGGGGAATTCTGAGTGTGCTTGAAGGATAACGAGACCCATGTGTCCAAGAGCAGTGCTGGGGTGGGGGCAAGCTCAGAGATGGAGATCTCCCTTTCTTACCGTGATGGCACCTGTAGAAGGGAGAACGTCTCGCACACTGAGAATCACGGGGCTGGAGAAGAGTCTTGCTCAAAATACAAGCCATGACGGACGCCTGGGTGGCTCAGTCGGTTAAGCGTCTGACTCTTGATTTCTGCTCAGGTCATGATGTCACGGCTTGTGGGATCCAGCCCCGTGTCAGGCTCTGTGCTGATAGTGCAGACCCTGCTTGGGATTCTCTGTTTCCCTCTCCCTCTGCCCCTCCCCCACTGTGCACTCATGGACCCATGCACTCACTCTCTTTCAAAATAAATAAATAAACATTGAAAACAAAACAAAATCCAAGCATGAGATAACACCTGCTAACACATGCTGAGCTGGAAATGCCCAGGGGCTGTGAAGTGTGTATTCCCCACATTAGCACCATTTTGTGTTTTTATTTATTACAAAAATTTTTTTTTAACCTTTATTTATTTTTGAGTGAGAGACAGCATGTGAGCAGGGGAATAGCAGCGAGACAGGGTGACACAGAATCGGAAGCAGCCTCCAGGCTCCGAACTGTCAGCACAGAGCCTGACGTGGGGCTCGAACCCACAAACTGTGAAATCATGATCTGAGCCGAAGTCAGACGCTCAACCGACTGAGCCACCCAGGTGCCCCAGCACCACTTTGTAGATGAGGAGACTGAGGCTGAGAAAGGTAGAGGTTATGTGGTTTGCCTAAGGACAGGGGGACTTGAATCCAGGTTTGTCTGACTTCAGAATCCAGGCTTTTAACCATGACTTGTGCACTTGAAGGGAGGTGGGGGGGGGGCGAACCAGACATAAAACTGCATGTAGAGTATGGTCACATTTGTATTAAAAAAAAATATATATATATATATATATATATATATTTGTCTCTCTCTCTCTCTCTCTCTCTCTCTCTCTATTTGCTTCTCTATATGGGGGAAAAGACGGGAAGGCAATATATCAAAATGTGTTGATCCCTAGAGATTTGTGCCTCTGGTTCCACTGTGGGCCAAGGACAGGGGGGGAAATGCCCCCCCCCCCCCGCTCCCCACCCCCCCAAATATGGGAGACTGCCCTTAGCATTAACAACAGCCACACCTCTTACCCAGATGCTCCCTTTCGGTTTACAAAGTGTCTTCTTTCACTGTCCTGCATTTGGTCTTCATGACTGCTATCACCGGGAAGAAACCCGAGCCTAGCCTGTGACAGAGCCGGGACTAGGACCGACACCTACATATTCGAAGTTCTCCAGGGGTCAGGTCAAGGAAAGAAGAGAGATGGCAGAGAGGTCAAGGAAGGTCCGAAACCAGGTGGCCAAGGGGGGCAGGAAAAATACCGTTACGACAGAGAGGTGAAGCAATTCCCAAGTCCTCCCAGCAGAGGGCGATAGTACCCCAGAGCTCCGCAAACCTGCCCAGGCCACGCCCCCTGCCCGGCCCGGCCCCGCCCCGCCCCTCCCGGGACCCGGGAGCCACAGGGACCCTTCCCGGGTTTCTAAAGGGTCTGAAGGGCGAGAGGATGGGCGGCGGGTGGGGTGTGGCAAGAGAAAAAGGGAGGATCCGCCGGAGAGGTTGCCCGGGGCACGGTGTGGGTGTCTGCAACGGGGTCAAGTGTGCTGGGGCGCCGCGCGTCTGCGCCGGAAGAGCGAGCGCGTAAAGCGAGCTGGAGGTGCGGAGCTCGGGTGGGCGTTTGCCAGGAGAAGGTCCCGGCGTGGGCGGGGGGAGGGGGTGCAGAATGTCTGTGGGACTTCCTGGGGCGGCAAGATTTGCTGCTCTGGGGAGGCGGTTACTCACTCAAGCTTTGCCACCTGCTTCCCTTCCAGCTTCCAGCCAAACACAACCCAGAGTCCCCGTCTCCACCCCCACCCCGGCTAATGATGGCTGCACCCCCAAGCTGGAACCTGCCTCTGCAAAATCAGCCCTCAGCCTCTCGGCTTCAGGGTAGGCGAGGGTGGGGAGGGGGGCGCCCCGCTGATTCCAGTTGGTGCACTGAAGTGGCACCCAGCTCACGGTCTGATCTTCCCCCTGCCAACCCCCAACTATTGGTCTAGACCAGAACCTTTGAGGAGCAGCTGCAGGGAAGACCCAGCCTGCCAGCTTCTCAGGCTGGGGTCTCCGCTCCCCTCCCCTCCCCTTCCCCATTGAGCTCTGGCCACACACAGCCAGCAGGTCCCGGATACCTCTGTTGTGTGCCAACGGCCGCTCCAGCCAAGATGGGGACACACGGGTCTCCAACGGGATCTCCCTGCCCTCCAAGAGCTCCGAGTCAATGGGGGAGCCGCCACCACACCACGGGCCAGAAAGTGCCAGTGGGAGGCACAGGTCATCAGCTCCCTGTAGATGATAGGACCTCAGGGGAACCAGAGTTCTGTCCGTGTTTGGAGTGCCAAGGTTCTAGCTGGGAGGGAGCTCAGAGGTCTCTAGAGTCGACTTCAGTCAACTTGTGCTCAGTAATTCTTTATTGAACATAAAGATCGTTTTTAAAATATGGAAGCTCCAGCCTGCCGCAGAACGCCTGAATGAGAACCTTAAGGGAAGGAGCAGGGTCCTGGCTACTTTTAAATGTCTCGCGGGTGATTTGTTGCTGTAGTTGGTAATCACTGGCCTTACATTCACTTAACCAGAGACGAGTTTCCCAGAAAGTGGGGTTAGCGCCAGGCTTTCAGTCAGAGTGAGATCTGGAGAGAGCTGAATATGCTAGTGTGCTGGGACCTAGGTGGCCTGTCACTCTGGCGGTGGGGGGGGGGTGCGGTGCTGCAAGGACATCACCAGCTGTGAGGGGGGCTGCTTTCAAGTGACTCTGCAGGGGAGCATAGGGGAAAGAGGCCCAGAGGGCCAGAATTTGCCTAATTTTTACTTTGTAGGAAGAGTTTTGTTTAACTTATTTAAACTAAAAAAAAAAAAAAAAAAAAAAAAAGGAAATCAAAACAGTTCACCCATTTCTCCCACCTCCCATCTCCTGCCTCTTGCAACCACCAGTTATCGGTACCTGTGAGCTTGGGTTGTTTTTGTTTTTGCTTGGGATTCCATATCTAAGAGAGATCCTACCACATTTGTCTCTCCCTGTATGACTTAACTTCATTTAGCATAATGCCCTTGACCTTCATCCATGTTGTCGCAAATGGCAAGATTTCGTTCTTTTTTACGGCTGAGCAATACATATGTGTGCCACAATTTCTTTATCCACTCAGCCATTGATGGATACTTTAGAGTGTTTCCCTATCTTGGCTGTTGTAAATAACGCTGCAGGGAACGCGGGGGTGCAAATAGCTTTTCGAATGGCCGTTTTCATTTTCTTTGGATAAATACCCAGCAGTAGAATTACTGGGTCATATGGTATTTCTACTTTTAATTTCTTTGAGGAACCTCATACTGTTTTCCACTGTGACTGCGCCAGGTTACCTTCCCAACTGACAGTGTGTGAGAGTTCCCTTTTCTGCACACCCTCGCCAACACTTGTTATTTCTTGGTTTTTTTCTGATACTGACCATGCTGACAGGTGTGAGGTGATACCTCACTGTGGTTTTGATTTGCATTTCCCTGAGGAGTCGTGCTGTTGCGCATGTCTTCATGTGTCTGTAGGCCATCTGCGTGCCTTTTTTGGAAAAATGCCTGTTCAGATCCTCTGCCCGTTTTTAAACTGGATTTCGGGGGGGTTTTTTGCTATTGGATTATATGAGTTCTGTATATAGTTTGGATATTAGCCCATCGTTAGGTACATGATTTGTAACTATTTTCTCCCATTTCGTAGGTTGTCTTTTCATGTTGTTAATGGTTTCCTTCGTGGGCAGAAGCTTCTCAGTTTGATGTGGCCAGCCCCACATATTTATTTTTGCTTTTGTCGCTTTTGTTTTCGGTGTCAGATCCTCGCCAAGAGCTATGTCAGGGAGCTTAGCGCCTAAGTTTTCTTCTAGGAGTGTTGTGGTTTCAGGTCTTATGCTCATATCTTAGTCCATTCTGAGTTAATGTTTGTGTACAGTGTAAGAGAGAGGTCCATTTTTAGTTTTTTACATGTGGCTTTCCAGTTTTTCCCAGCACCACTTTTGAAACAGCTGTCCTTTCTCCGCTGAAAAACATTCTTGGCTCCTTTGTAGTAAACTAATTAACCACCTATGCGTGGACTTATGCCTCGAGCTCTCCATTCTGTTCTGTTGATCCATGTGTCTGTTTTTATGTCAGTACCGCACTGTTTGCGTTCCTATTGCTTTGTAATATAGTTTGAAATCAGGGAGAGTGATGCCTCCAACTTTGTTCTTTCTCAAGATTGCTTTGGCTATTTGGGGTCTTTTGTGATTCCGTACAGATTTTAGGAGTGTTCCATTTCTGTGGAAAAACACCGTTGGAATTTTGATAACGGATTCACTGAATCTGTACGTTGTTTGGGGCCGTACAGACCTTTTCCCAATAATTCTCCCAATCCATGAGTGTGGAATATCTTTCCATTTACTCGTCTTTTTCAGTTTCTTTCATTCATGTCTCGTGGGTTTCAACATACAGATCTTTCACTTCCTTGGTTAGATTTATTCTCAGGCACTTTATTCTTTTTGATGAAATTGCAAACGGGATTATTTTCTTAATTTCTCTTTCTGACAGTTCATTAGTGTTTAGAAGCACAACAGATTTTTGTGTCTTCGTTTTGTATCCTGCAACCTCACTGAATCTATTTATTAGTTCTGACAGTTTGGGGATGGAGTCTTTTGGGTTTCTGTGTATAATACCGTGTCATCCACAGGTACTGACAGTTTTTAATCCCTTCCTTTCCAATTGGATACATTTTTCTTTATTTTGCTGAATTGCTCTTGACTAGGACTTCCAATAATATGTTAAGTCAAAGGGGCAAGAGTAGATATCTTTGTCATATTCCTGGTCTCAGGGGAAAAGCTTTCAGCTTTTCACTGTTGAGTATGATGTTACCTGTGGGGTTTTTTCATACGTGGCCTTTACTGTGTTGAGGTACTGATCGTGTTCACAGTTTTTATCATAAATGGATGTTGAGCTTTGTCAAATGCTCTTTCTGCATCTATCTGTTGAGACAATCAGGTGATTTCTGTCCCCCATTTTGTTTATGTGGTGTATGGCGTTAACGAATTTGTGGATGTTGAACCATCCTTGCGTCCCTGGAATAAATCCCACGTAATCATGGTGTATGACTCTTTTTAACGTACTGTTGCATTCAGTTTGCTGATATTTTGTTGAGGATTTTTGCCTCTGTATTCATCAGGGATATTGGCCTGGAATCTCCTTGTTTTGTGGCATTTACGTCTGGTTTGGCATCAGGGTAAGTCTGGCCTTGTAAACTGTGCTCAGAATTCCCCTCTTGTATTTTCTGGAAGAATTTGAGAAAGATTGATATTAATTCTTTGAATGCTGGGTAGTTTTCACCAGTGAGGGTTTCTGGTCCCGGACTTTTGTTTGTTGGGAGGTTTTGGATGACTGGTTTAATCCCTTTGCTGGTAATCAGTGTGTTCAGATTTTCTGTTTCACCATTACTCAGTCTGGGTAGGTTGTGAGTTTCTAGGAATGTGACCACTTCTTCTAGGTTGTCTAGTTCATTGCATAGAATTGTTCATAGTAGTCCCTTCTGAGCTTTGGCATTTCTGTGGGGTCACTTGTAACATCTCTTCTTTCATTTCTGCTTCCATTTATTGGACTCCTCTCTTTTTACTGTCTTGGTGAGTCTAGCTAAAGGTTTGTCCGTATTATGTTTTTAATGTTTGTTTATTTTCGAGAGAGAGAGAGAGAGAGGGAGAGAAAGCATGAGCAGGGGAGGGGCAGAGAGAGAGGAAGAGAGAAAAAATCCTAAGCAGGCTCCACACTGTCAGCACAGAGCCTGCCAGGGGGCTCGAATTCATGAACCAGGAGATCATGACCCGAGTCAAGAGCTAGAGTTGGACGCTTAACCCACTGAGCCACCCAGGGGCCCCAATGTTGGTTTTTTTTAACGTTTACTTATTTTTGAGAGAGGGAGCATGAGCAAGTGGGGGAGGGGCACAGAGATAAGGAGACAGAGGACCTGAAGCGGGCTCTGCGATGGCAGCAGAGAGCCCAGTGTCGGGCTCAGACCCACGAACCATGAAATCATGACCTGAGCCAAAGTCAGAGACTTAAGCAACTGAACCCCCCGGGCGCCCGTCAATATTGTTTATCTTTTCAAAGAACCAGCTCTTGATCTTTTCTATGGGTTTTTTTGTCTCTATTTCCTTTATTTCTTCTCTAGTCTTTGTTATTTCCTTTCTTTACTAAATTTGGGCTTCATTTGTTCTTTTTTAAGGTCCTTGAGGTATCAAGGTAGGTTATTTATTTGAGGCTTTTCTTGTTTCTTGAGGTAGGCATTTATGACTATGGACTTCCCTCTTAGAATTGCTTTGGCTGCATCCCATAAATTTTGGTATATTCTATTTCCATTTTCATTTGTCTCAAGGTATTTTTTTGTTAAGTAAGCTCCACACCCAGCGTGAGGCTTGAACGCACGACCCGGAGATCAAGAGTCACAAGCTCTACCAAAGGAGCCAGCCAGCTGCCCCTCAAGGTTTTTCAAGTTTATTTATTTATTTATTTAGTAATCTCTGGACCCAACGTGGGGCTCAAACCCACAACCCCAAGATCAAGAGTCACACACTCTTCCAAGTGAGCCAGTCAGGCACCCCTATTTCTCCTTTGACTTTTTCTTTGGCCCACTGGTTGTTCAGTAGCATGTTGTTTGATCTCCACATAGTTGTGAATCTTTAAGCTTTCTTCATGTAATTAATTTTTAATTTCATACCATCATGGTCAGAAAAGACGCTTGATACGGTTTTAGTTCTCTTCAACTTATTAAGATTTGTTTTGTGGTCTAACATAGCATCTGTCCTAGAGACTGTTCCTTGTGCGTTTGAGAAGATGTGTATTCTGTTGCTTTTGGGTGGAATGTTCTGTAAATATCCATTAAGTTCATCTGGTCTAACGTATCATTTAAGGCCATTGTTTCCTTATTGATTTTTTATCTGGATTATCTACCCATTGGTGTAAATGAGGTATTAAAACCCTCTACTAGGGGCGTCTGGGTGGCTTGGTCGGTTGGGCGTCTGACTTCGGCTCAGGTCATGATCTCACAGTTTGTGAGTTCAAGCCCCACGTCGGGCTCTGTGCTGACAGCTCAGAGCCTGGAGCCTGTTTCAGATTCTGTGCCTCCCTCTTTCTCTGCCCCTCCCCTGCTCATACTCTGTATCTCTCTCTTTCTCTCAAAAATAAATAAAACATTAAAAATTTTTTTAATAAAAAAATAAAGTCTATTTTGTCTTATATAAGCATAGCTACCGCAGCTTTCTTTTGGTTTCCATTTGCCTGAAATATCTTTTTCCATTCCTTCACTTTCAGCCTGTGTTGCTCTTATATCTAAAGTATGTCTCTTGATGGGGCACCTGGGTGGCTCAGTTGGTTGAGCAACCGACTTCGGCTCAGGTCATGATCTCGTGGTTTGTGAGTTCGAGCCCCACATCCGGCTCTGTGCTGACACCTCAGAGCCTGGAGCCTGCTTCAGATTCTGTGTCTCCCCCTCTCTCTGCCCCTCCCCTGCTCATGCTCTGTCTCTCTGTCTCTCTCTCAATAGTAAATAAACGTTAAAAAAATTTTTTTAAGTATGTCTCTTGGGGTGCTTGGGTGCCTCAGTCAGTTGAGCGTCCCTCTCCCTGTGCCCTTCGCCCACTTGCAGGAACATTCATGCTCTCTCTCAAAAATTTTAAAACAAATAAATAAATAAAGTGTGTCTTTTGTGGGCAGACTATAGATGGGTCTTGTTTTTTTTTTTTTAATTCATTCAGCCACTGTATGTCTTTTGATTGGAGAATTTAGTCCATTTACATTTAAAGTCATTATGGATAGGTATGTGCTTCTTGCCATTTTGTTAATTGTTTTCTGGCTGTTGTTGTAATTCCTCTCTGCTCCTTTCTTCTTCTCTTGATCTTATCCTTTGTGGTTTAATGACTTTCTTTATGGTATGCTTATGTTCCCTTCTCTTTATTTTTTGTGTATTTACTATAGTTTTTTGCTTTGTGGTTACCATGAGGCTTACGTATCACAACATTCTAAAGAGATAACTTAAGCTGGACCCCATTCTGATGCTCAAAATGTTTACTCTCCCCCCACATACACTTTGTTTTTGATGCCTCGTTTTACATCTTTTTACCTTTGTGTCCCTTACCTGATTATTGTAATCATAGTTATTGTTACTACTGTTGTCTTTTAACCTTCACACTAGCTTTATAATTAATCTACTTCCTTTAGTATATATTTACTTTTCCAATGAGATTTATTCTTACGTGTCTTCTTGTTACTAATTAGCACCCCTTCTTTTCCATAATTTTTACTTTTTGCATAAATGTGTGTGTTCTATAAATTCCAGGAACGAAACAGTCACTGAAGTTTAGGAGGTCTCCCTTATGGTAAAAATTCTGTGTCTTGCAGGTTAGCAGATGTGATTCCTCCCCACTTCCCCCACTCCAGCCCAGTCTCTAAGCCTTCAGACTAAGTGGGGTTCCACGCAGAGAAGGTATGTTGGTTGAAATAAATTAAGTTTGATCATTTATAAGTTCCGAATGCATTATTCATTCATTCAGACACACGTGCCTTCAATCGATGTTGTTTGAATGCCTACTCAGTGCTGGGCAAATTCAGATGGCAGAGAGCTTCAGATTCAGATGGCAGAATCAGGTTGTGTGATTCAGAGGAGACTCCACTTTGTGAGAGTGTGGGGCAGGGCACTAGGCTGATGGGGCACCCCCCCTTCTGCCAGATCTGGTGCCTGTTAAGGTCAGGGCCAAGAGAGATGCAGTGTTCTGAGGCCACCACCAGGGGTCAGGCACACCTCTACTCTGGCCATTTCATTGCATGGAGGAGCCCTCCTTGGGCCCCTGCCTTCTCAACCTCAAGGTCTTTTCTCTCTCACTTCCCTCAGCCCATTCCTCCTTCCTCTAGGCCATCCCATCCCGCCGTCACTGCAGGGCCAAGCAGCCTCCCAAGTAGACAGCCTGGCATTTCTCCTGACCCTTGGGGAGTCCCACAGCCTCTCACTTCCCCAATTTTAGGAGTGACTGACTGACTGATGAGCAGAGAGTGCCTTCTACTATCTTATCTCTTCTTGTCCTGCCGCCATTCAGCTCAAGTTCTCTGGTTTTGTCCCCCGAGCAAAATGGGAGTGTTTATGGATTACTCCTAATAAGTTTTCTTATGTGTGTCAACAAAGCTCTTCTCCAAGCCCAAGCCCCTTTTGTGGCCCCCAGAATCCAGTGTCAAGAGCCCCTTGATGTTTTGATGGGAATGTTCTCACCTCACTCCAGCACAGCACCCACATCCATGGAGCCTTGATCCCTCTGGACCTGATCTCCTTCTGCTGCCTGGCACATATCAGACCCTGCTCCCTCAGGTCCCCCCTTTCATCCACCCTCCATGCTCCCACTTTCCCTCCCCACACATGAGTTGCACTGCCTTAGAGGTTTAGCTCCTCTAAACGGTTTCTTACCATCTTTTTTTGTTTGTTTTTAGTGTTTACTTATTTTTGAGAGAGAGAGCGGGGAAGGAGCAGAGAGAGGGGTACAGAGGATCTGAAGCAAGCACTGTGCTGATAGCAGAAAGCCTGATGCAGGGCTTGAACTCATGAACTGAACCGTGAGATCATGACCTGAGCCGACGTTGGACGCTTAACCGACTGAACCACCCAGGCTCCCTGGTTCCTTACCATCTTGACATCCTGTCCTCATACTCCCTCGGGACGCCTTCCCTCTGCCCAGTCCGGGCCCTTCAGACAAACATAGATGAGGGAATGCTGTCTCTTCCAGGTACCACCTATGTTCCCTTAACCTCTCCACTTCTTAGTTTCTTCATCTGTGAAACAGGGACAGTGGCGAATGGCTCTCGGATATGCGGTGAGGTCTAAGTGGCCGATGGCTCTGGAAGTGTTCAGTACAGTACCAGTACGTAGAGGTGCTCTGGGATAGGGTCCCTCATCCTTTCCTTCAGGTACAGCTCCTGCCTCCACTGCCACCCCCCACTCCATCTGCCAGTGGAAACCTTCCCTTGTCTCTGTGCACTGGCTACTCCTGCCCCATCCCCCACTTCTGAGCAGAGCGGTGGCCCCGGGCAGAGTGGGAGGAGAACCAGGGGACTCCGGGGCACGCAGCCACCATGCTGAGGAGATGGAGGCAGACGCAGAGAGCTCTGCAGGGACCTCAGACCAGAACTCCCATCTGCAGGGCTGGGTCACGACCTAGAATGGCGTCCACTCTTGTCCCTGGGGTTATGGGGGACCGCTCTTCTGGCCGGGGGATGGGGAAGGGCTCCCACAGAGTCCCCCGAGGCACCGAAAGGACCAGAAGACTGGTGGGAGGTGAAGGAGGGGAGGCAGGGCAGGGGAATACCAACCACACACTATTCCCCGTCCCTGCTCCCTTCCCATCCACCCCCATCCTCCACCAAACACGATCCCTGGGTTAATTTTTAGCATCGCAGCTCGTACATTAGTCACTCCCTGTCACCCACCTACACGGCAGGAGGCTGCTGTGCTGGTGCCGTCATCCCATCATCTGTGAGGTGGGATCCAGCCCCGCTCTGGGCACCCCCTCAGCCTCCTCCAGGAGCCCCTTCAGCCTGGGTGAGGGGTACCGACATCACCCCCAAGACTAGCCGCAGGGGAGGAGGGGAGGAACAGGCTGGTCAGAGAGAGGCTGGGTGTCCCTGCTAGGAGGCAAAAGCCGGGGAGGCCCCTGCCGACCCCGCCCCCAGTAAGGTGCTAGGCTCTGCCCAGGCAGCTGGTCTCCTGGTAGTCCCAGGCTCTGGGAACAAAGGTATGAGAGGGCCCCTCCCTTAGACCTGAGCCTCTAAGAGCTGCTGTTTGTCATGGCTGCAGAGCAGCTGTTCAAACAGGGAGCTTAGGGAGGCTCCATTTGCTTAATCAAATGTCTTCCCTTCCCCGGAACGAGGGAGGGCAGCGCGGCCAGGTGCAGGGACCCTGGCTGGAGCTGACACCCAGCCCCAAAGGGACAGCAGGAGAGGGGCTCACAGTTGCCAGCATCAGCTGGAGCAGAGGTGGGGCCTCCTCACCACCCCTACCCCAGGGCTGAGAGCTGGGGAGGTGGCCAGTCAACCCTCTGCTGGCCTGGCCCCAAGGAAGCATTCCTGTTTATTGAGCACCTGCTGTGTACCTCACCAGTGTTAGGCCCTGGAGGCACAATGTCAACAGGGCTGAGTTTCTTGCCTTAGGAAGGCAAAAGATCTATACAAAGGAAGTCAGTATAATCACCAACGGGGAGTTAAGTGTGGTAAAGAAAAGAAAATTAAATAAATAAGTAAATAACTAGAGGGCTCAAGATAAAGAATAATGAGGACAGGGGAACTACTGATCTGATCTGGGAAAGCTGAGGAAGGGTTTAAGCTGAAGTCACTATGGAGGAATCAGTCTTGTAAAGAAGAGTGTCCAGGCAGAGAGCACAGCATAGGCAAAGGGCAGAGACAGGAAAGAGTTGGGCATATTTGAGGATTAGGACTAGGAAGAACAGTGTGGCTTAAGCATGAGAAGTGACATGGAAGGAGAAACAATTTGAGCTTGAAAAGAGAGATAGGGACCTGACCCCCGAGGGCCTCCTACAAGGCATCCCAATGCAATTGCAGAGGTTGTGCACTGCACAAAGGCTCCCAGTTGCCAAATTCTGGGACCTGTGTGGCTGCCGTCAACTCAGAGGAAGGGATGCCTTGTTGTAATTTGTCTGCCCAGAGGGACAACATGTTATGGATAAGCATAGGAAGTAGTTTGGAATTTATTCTTTTATTCCAGGGGAAGCCATGATGGATTTTAAGTGAGGAGGGTTGTGATCCGATTTCCTTTTTGGAAAGATCACCCTAATACTAGGTGAAGGGATGGTCCAGGGGCAAGAGAGGAAGCAGGGGGCACATTCAAGTGCAGTGGGGCAGGAGGGGGAGGGTAGGAGGTGGCCTGGCCGGGGGAGGGTGCCACTTAGACCTCTTAAAGCCACCCCTTGCGTGGTTACTGCCAGGGAGGAACACTGGCATGGAGCCTCAAGTCTCAGGCCTAGCTCTGCTACTTACTCTCTGTCTGACCCTAGACAGGTCACTTGCCCTGGGTCACTTCAAAGAAAGGTGGCGTCCACCTCTTGGAGATGCTGTGAGCACACATTCTAGTTCTTGAGCTAGCATCTGCTATGAGCTAGTATCAGGCATGAAATAAAGCAGCAGAGGAGACAGGAAAGGTCCCTGGGCTCTGCTACAAGGAGTGTATGTCGTAATGGAGAAGGGAGCCAGGCCAACACCAAAATCCCCCAAAGTCGAGACAGTTGTGGCTGGTCAGGAGTAGTATGACAGAAAAAGCCAGTGGAAGGTGTGACTGCATTTTGGACTGGGTGAGGAGGCCTTTGGGAGGCAGAGCGGAGTACTGAAGGGGCCGATTAGGAGAAGAGTGAATGCAGAGGCCTCCAGTGGATGGGGTCTGAAACATACCAGGTACAGCAAGGGAGCCAGAGCAGAAAGCGAGAAGGGAGACAAAATGAGGCAGGCAAGGGTCAG